TTATGGGTATGTAATAGTTATATATTTATAGGACACGTGATTTTTTTGATATAGGCATATAATGTGATTTATCAAATCAGGGTAATCACCTCAGGCATTTATCATTTCTTTGTGTTAGGAACATTTCATTTGCACTCTTTCAGGTACTTTTCCTAACTTATGTTGATTAGTCACTTTGTTGTGCTATCGAATATTATTCATTCTATTCAACTATATTTTTGCACCCATTAGCCATCTCCACTTTATCCTTCCCTCCCCACTACCCTTGCCAGCCTCTGCTAATCATCATTCTCCTCCCTATCTCCATGAGATAATTGTTTTTAATATTTAGCTCTGACATATGAGTGAGAACATGGGAGATTTGTCTCTCTGTGCTTGCCTTATTTTACTTAAGTTTCTCCAATTCCATCTGTGTTGTTGCAAATGGCAGGATTTCATCCATTTTTATGGCTGTATCATATTCCATTGTGTATATGTACCCCAATTCTTTATCCATTCATCCATTGATGGACACTTAGGTTGATTCTAATTATTAGCTATTGTGAATAGTACTGCAGTAAACATGGGAGTACAAGTATCTTTTCCATATACTGAATTCCCCTCCTTTGGATATATATCTAGCTAGCAATGGGATTGCTGGGTCATACAGCAGTTCTCTTTTTAGTTTTTTGAGGAACATCCATACTGTTCTCCATGGTGGTTGCTCTAATTTACCTTCCTACCAGCAGTGTGCCAAGGGTTCCACATCCTCGCCAGTATTCGTTATTGCCTGTCTTTTTGATAAAAAACGTTTTAACTGGGGTGAGATAATCTCATTGATTTGCATTTCTCTGGTGACTAATGATGTTGAGCATTTTTTCATACACCTGTTGACCATTTGTGTATCTTCTTTTGAGAAATGTCTATTCCAGATCTTTTGCCCATTTTTAATTTGATTATTTGATTTTTCCCCCTATGTTGTTGGAGCTTCTTATATACTCTATTAATCCTTTGTCAGGTGGATAGTTTGCAAATATTTTCTTCCATTCTGTGGGTTATCTTTTCACTTTGTTGATTGTTTCCTTTGCTCTGCAGAAGCTTTTTAGCTTGACACGATTCCATTTGTCTAATTTTGCTTTGGTTGCCTGTGCTTTGGGGTATTACTCAAGAAGTCATTGCCCAGACAAATGTCCTGAAGCATTTCCCCAATGTTTTCTTTTAGTAGTTTCATATCTTAGATTTAAGTCTTTAATCCATTTTGACTTGATTTTTTTTTTTTTTTTTTGAGACAGAGTCTCACTTTGTTGCCCAGGATCTCCTGGAAGATTGGAGTTGGGTGTTGCACA